TACTCTGTTAGTTTTCTCCTGGGTTTCTGTTGGGTCAAGATACACACCAATTTCTGATGAACCTTGCAAAGGCAATCTTGCTACTTAAAAGTATTTTTAAACGTCACTGTTTTATTTATTAAATCGTTCCTAGTCCTTTCAAGTATTTTTCAATTATGAAAGTTAATAACGGAGAACCTTTATCCATAAAAAGGACGCAGACTAAAGAATTAATAATGTTTCAGTGATTGATACAGTGAAAATACTTTTTTATTTACGAGACTATTTTTGACGAGATAATTTTAAATTCAGCCAATTTTAGGTGCTGGCTATATTGGCGTTTCTAAGTAAAGTTCGCGTTTCGAAGCACTTGATTTACACTTTTAGATCTTGTCACTCTTCTTGCAGGCAATATTTCACTCGTTGCAAACCGTTCAACAGTATGATTTATCGCCTCGTAGGTAATAGAATGATTTAGAGTTGGATTTATAATCCCATTTTCCATCCTATTATAGGTACAGAGGAGGTATAAAAAGTCAGCTAATTAAATTTAATTGAATAAATATCGTAACACTGCTCCATTTGCATAAAGTGTCTTCCAAAACGTGATCTATAAACGAAATGATGAATTTTGATAGAGAACCTAATGTTAGAGAATAGATCACAGCAAATACGAAATTATTGAATCTCGACACAGTTTACTTTAACGTTTTTTACGAAGCTCATCGTACAGAATTCTAGAACAAACTAATCGTCAAGAAGTTAGTGTGTTAAGTTGAGCTAATGACCTAATCGAGGAAAGAGAGGCAATCGAGTAAACGGGAAAAGCAGCTAATCGTCGAGAGTTCCTTAACTAGATTGATGCTATAGGAGCAGGGATAAATTAATCGATCGATTTAGCAAAACAAGGATTTAGTGGAAAAGCAAACAGTGAGAGAAATAGGAATAGGAACGGTAGGAGCATCGAGAATCAGTTGTTTCTAGGTAAAAATGGTATCGAACAAGCTACACAAATGAAAGTAATCTAAATTAGAGTTATAATAGTTCACAGATATTGTAGATTAATTTTCTAACAAGTTTCAGTTCTATAAATCAGTCCGGTGTTCTCCAATTTGCACTATAAAAAATTGTATAAAAAGGTTAGAGCAAGATTTGTTAAAACTAACAAATTACAAGTCAAGGTTTATGTATCTCAAATGCAAAATCGTATTACTCTTTACACGTTTACTGTGCAGTAGTATTGTAAGTCTCTTAGAGTATCTAACCGTGCGTGTTGTGTTACGAATTTCCGATACTCGAATCGCTGTGGAGGGTAAAGAGCGATGGAGAAGTATATTATGGATAGAAATATGAAAATATTTTGATAATAAGTCGACTTCCGGAGTCGTTTGTTCGCTTGACGGAAAATCCTTACCGATTGATTTCTATTCTCTGTTCCGAGATGTTCTTCCTAATTGGCAATATTCCAGACGTTTGTATTTTGGCGACTGAAAAGAGTATAGAAAGGTAAAATGGAGAATGGAATATAGGTAGAAGGTTGAAAGAGATTGCGTTTTATTTTTAATTTGCAAGCAGACCTATCAATTAAAGAACCGGATATTATAGACGCGAGAACAACCAGAAATGAAGCAAGTTCTTATCACTAGTCACCATTAGCTGGTAAAGGTTTGCAGTGGTCAGTAATGATCATCAATGATCAGAGGTGAAATTGAAATCAAACAATGAACTTCAGAAGGATGGGGGAGTATTAAATATTTCTTGTCACTGGTCACCATGAGCTGGTAAAAGTCAGCAGTGGTCAGTAATGATCATCAGTGGTCAGAGGTTAAATTGAAATCAAACAATGAACTTCAAAAGGAAGGAGGAGTATTAAATATTTCAATCATTGGTCACCATTAGCTGGTAAAAGTCAGCAGTGGCCAGTAGTGGTGAGCAGTGGTCAACAGTGGTCAAAAGTTAAATTGAAATCAAAAAAAGTAAAACAATGAAATTGAAAAGGAGGGAAAAGTTTTAAATATTTCTTATCACTAGTCACCATTAGCTGGTAAAGGTTTACAGTGGTCAGTAATGATCATCAATGGTCAGAAGTGAAATTGAAATCAAACAATGAACTTCAGAAGGATGGAGGAGTATTAAATATTTCTTATCACTAGTCACCATTAGCTGGTAAAGGTTAGCAGTGGTCAGTAATGATCATCAATGGTCAGAGGTGAAATTGAAATTAAACAATGAACTTCAGAAGGATGGGGGAGTATTAAATATTTCTTATCGCCGGTCACCATTAGCTGGTAAAGGTTTGCAGTGGTCAGTAATGATCATCAGAGGTCAGAGATGAAATTGAAATCCAACAATGAACTTCAAAAGGAAGGAAGAGTATTAAACATGTCTTATCACTAGTCACTATTAGAAGGTAAAAGTCAGCAGTGGCCAGTAGTGGTGAATAGTGGTCAACAGTGGTCAAAAGTTAAATTGACATAAAAAAAAGTAAAACAATGAAATTGAAAAGAAGGGAAAAGTATTAAATATTTCTTACCCACGAGTCACCATTAGCCAGTAATGGTCAGCAGTGGTCAATAATGGTTAACAATTCATTAATGACTAAACATAGGTCCGCGAGACTGAAATATTTCGTCATGAGCAGCTCTACGTATAATTCTTTGAGGATGCCGAGAGTTGGCAGTTAATTTTATCTACAGAAAACGAATTTTGGAGCTTTACTGAACCGCTGACATTTTGGTATCAATCTCATTCTTGATCATTATTGCCCATAAGCTGACCATTGTCGACCTTTGAATAATCAATGATTAATTGAACCCATCATGAAGTTTTTTTCAAGAATCCCCTTAACATTTGATGCATTATTTTGTTCAACATTTTCTTTCACTTTGAAAGAATGTATCTTATGTTAGAAGACACGCGTGATTTGGAAATTAAACGTATATTTCAGTAAAAACTAGGAAATAGTAGAATAAATGTTTTATTAAGCCATTTATCCAGGATGCCTGTCCAATGAACATTTATTCTATTCCTCAGTCAGGATTCCAGGACATTGTAATCGTTTTTGGAACCAGAGTAGATTCAAAATGGAGTCTAGTTTTTAAGAAATTCGAATTTAAAATTGAGACAGAGTATTTATCACTATTATGATTATTCCTACAGTTACACAGCATTAAAATATTACACACATTACAGACACGTCTCTGCACTTGTTGCTTCGCTATAAACGTGTATTTACAGTAACGTTGCAGAGCGTGTACGAAGAAATCAGAGACTACGCTCGAGAATATTTCAGTGCGCGACCTATACGCCGCACAGTGGTTCAGATTAGAAAATCGTGTGCCTTTTTTGTATAACTTTTAAACCGTATGTGATATTAGCATGCAACTTGAACCAGATAAGTTTGAAATGCTAAGCTATGGATAGGTTAAAGAAAAATTGTATCACAATTGTTGTTTTTGTTGTTATCAATCTTTATCAATCTATATACAGGGTGTTCGGCTACTAATGGTAAAAATTTTAATGAGCGATAGTAGAGGCCAAAATAAGTCGAAAATCAAGAATACCAATTGCCCAACTGAGGCTTCGTTAAAAAGTTATTAACGTTTAAAGTTCCACTCGTACTGAATTTTTTTCTCGAAAATGCGCAAGATTTCGGGAATATGTCTATTTACCAAAAATTATTGTAATTGACCCCCGCAACCGAAAATAATTTTTCCAAAACGATTTGAAATTTTTTTTTTTCCGTCAAAAAATTTCACACATTCTCGAATTTTTTTCTAGAAAGTGGGTAGGATTCCGGGGGTATGTCTATTCACCAAAAATCTTTGTAATTGACCCTCGCAACCGAACATAATTTTTTCAGAACGATTTGAAATTTTTTTTTTCGTCGAAAAATTTAGGCACCTAATTAATTTTTCGGTAAGGCATTTTTATTGTTAGCACATTCTTTTGTTTTGTCAACGTGTTCAAAACACCTAACCTATATTGTTTTCCTGTTTTCTCTCCACGTAGAATTTCATTAATTGGTGCGATACAGCGTCCAACGTTAATAACTTTAAGCATTAATAATTTGAGCAGTGGGACGAGGGGGGAATCAACTCTTTCATGATTATTTAGAGGAAGGTGTGCCGAGAATATTCCAATTTGTTAAAACGCGGGATTCTTTGGGACTTAAAAGATAATCCCTGTCAATTGCAAGAAATTTGAAAAATTTGTTATATTTCATTGAGCATTACTTTTCCAGTACATTCTATACGGTAATCATTAATGTAAGGAGCGGTTTTCTATCATGGAAGAATGCTCTTTACTTTAAAAGAAAGAAAACAGGAAAATATTGAATAGGAACATCAGAACTCCTGAAAGAAAAAATGCAATTTTTCTAATGAAAGACACTATCCACAAAAAATTCGACTTTAAGTCGTCATTGCTACTAAAAAACTATATCAAATTGTATAAATATCTTCATTTTCGAGACTGCTGGGCATTTAAGAAACAGTATACACTTATCAAATATCGATATGTGATAGTCGATTTTTTAAGGAAATGGCACACGGTTTTTCAATCTGAACCACTGTGCGCCGTGGCAGTCGTAAATCCAACTCTGGAAAAATTTTAACGCACGTTGACATATCTCCCGCAACGAGATATCCCGAAAGTGCTCTCGCGAACGTTAAGCACTGTTTAATTAGAAGAACTATTAAGGAATCTCGTTCCTCGAGCCGCGGGCGCTAATTCTGATCGCGATAAAAATGCTTAATGTTTCGGCGGCATCTCGCGACCGGCCATAAATTATCGTCGCGTTGTTAATATACTCGAAAGCGTTTTCGCGTCTACATCGAATAGGTTAGTTCTACGTTAATTTATATACGCCACGAGAGAATTAATTAGTTGCGTGTAACGGCGTATCCTTGTAGCGTAATATGTTGTCGAGTACCGCGGCTCGAAATCGATGTCAGTATTATGTTGTAACGTTCCTTGACGACACTCGATCATGCTAACAACGTCTGCTTCCTCTGTTTCAGGTAAGGATCTAAATTTCGCCAGTAATAACGCGGGTGAGTGTTCATCTAACAATATAACATTATTATCGCATGCGTCTATTCTATGTTGATTATATTAGTCGTAAGTTTGTTTTTGTACTTGCGTGTCCTCCTTCTCGATTTTCACAGATGAGACGATCGATGCTCGACTTCGTGTCGTTTGTTACTTTTTACATGCTTATTAACTGTACTACATGTATCGTTAATGAAATCAATCGCAATGTAAACTAAGATACTGACATGGCATTTGGTCATTTGGGGGTGAACTTGATATTAAGAGGTCTTTCCGATTTCGATCGCCTAAAATTAGGTATAGATATGAAATTTTCACTCTTGCAATGTAACTCCAATTGTCTACGAAAACGAAACTTTGTTTTTATACATTTAGAAACTAGGATATCCAGAATTTGTTATAGAACTTATTTTTACAGCCTCGTTAAAATTCAAGAATGCTTTTATCGTTTCTTTAGACCTCTCAGACCTTTCGTAAATTAAACTTGGTAGCTTTTTCCATCTTGCACACGTTCGTCTGCTCATGTCACATTTTGAAAACGTATTAAACGCTCCTGCTTTAATTATCTCCATTTTCCAGCGATTTTACTAAAATTACGTGGTTTCAGCAAGACCTCAATCTTCATTCAGTTTCGCTCGTATAAAAATCGATTTTTCGACAAGGCAAATCGGAAAGACCCTTTAATAAGAAAATCGTTTATTTAACATCTTATTAATCTGTCGAACATAATTTTTTCATGCGACATTTCGTTAACCCTCATCTGGTATATTTTATCACGATTCAGCGATAAATCTACACATTCTATAATTGAATGTTCGTCCATGTTTCTGCTGATTTTGAATCCACGTATTATAAACCTATAAATCGATATAAAATTTAGTTTCAGTAATTCGTGTTTTTCTTCAAATTTGACAGATTGAAAACGTTCGTTGTTTTTATCATCTAGATATAATGCTTCAAAATTACAGTATACATTATTTTAAATTGATATACCACTTAACACGTTGACTGCCAGATCAAAAATTGTAAAACTTTTTATGAGATCAAAGCTGCGATTTTAGACAATTGTAAACTATACAAATTAAAATTTCTCTTAGTAATTATTTTTTTAACCATATTAAAATTCATGAATTCTTATTCAAATTTATTTTCTTTAACATTTCACCTTGAGATTTAATTGCTTCAGTTCCAATGTAAATAATTTTGTTTTTCATATACTATATTGACGACGTGACAGTCAAAGTGTTAAGAATTCAATCTAATGGTTTTCAAACCAAAATTTATAATGGAGGTTTACCTCATAACAAATTGTCTTGTTACCAACAATTTAAAGACCTTGGATTTTTGAGGTAGGATAATTCGTTCATTGGAATTCTAACGAGGTTTCTTAAGAGGGTCTTATACTGTAAAACGCGTTTTTTTTTCCTTTGCTATTTTTTTATAAAGAAACTGTGCAACTTCTTGCATCGACGTTTTTCATATACAAGGTCCACGCAATTGTTTCAAGTCATAACTCCGTTATTATTGCATTTCCGAAAAAATGCCAAAGAAGAAAGATAAATGGTTCGAAGAGCACTACATCTGTAGGTCTCTAAATTTTTTTTAGATGCAGCAGTGCATGTGCAATTAACAATTGCATCATTTCTTTAAATAGAAATGCATATTTTTTTTTACACAGATCGATTCTTTTGTTCATTCTGCGTAAAAAATGATTAGGGTACCATGGCCAAAAAATTATTAGATCTCGAGATATTTTCAAAAAATGTCTTTATCGAAGAAAATGCTCAAACGCTTCTCCATTACATTCTAAACATTTCTGATAACGTTTTTTTATTGTTTGCATAACTGCGTTTAAATTATCTGCAGTTGTTGCTGCGCATTCCAGTATGATTCTTTCTCTCAGATTCTCTACAGAATCTATGGGATTTGAATGAATTCTATCTTTCAAATAATCCCACAGAAAAAAGTCAAGGGGACTTAAATCAGGTGAATTGATGTATTTGTTGCGATAACGTTATTGCAAAACTTATTTTTTAGGATGTTTCTGTTATGATAACAATATCGAAAGGGTGTTTACCTTTACAACATAGTCATGAAGTGTTTCAGTATTTTCTTCAATAAAGACATTTTTTGAAAATATCTCGAGATCTAATAATTTTTTGGCCATGGTACCCTAATCATTTTTTACGCAGAATGAACAGAAGAATCGATCTGCCTAAAAAAAATATGCATTTCTATTTAAAGAAATGATGCAATTGTTAATTGCACATGCACTGCTGCATCTAAAACAATGTAAAAGCCTACAGATGTAGTGCACTTCGAACCATTTACCTTTCTCCTTTGGCATTTTTTCGTAAATGCAATAATAACGGAGGTATGACTTGAAACAATTGCGTAGACCACCCTGTATATTTGTCACTCTTTCAATAATATCTACAAATTTTTACAATGAGAAATAGTAAAAATCAGTAGCAAGAAAAAGCGTTATTGTGGTTTCCACGATTCCAGCCATTCTGTTTATTTAAAACGAAAAAGATTCTTAATCATGATACATTTTTCTACAGCAAGCATCAGAAGGACAGAAAAAAATGACAGCATTTTGAACCTGAAACATCGATTTTGGTTATTGTTTTTAACTTTAGCAAGCTAAGAAATATAGACAAAATGATTTTGGCTTCACGTGCTACGTAGATCTTCAGCTATTATGAAAATCAGTTCAGAAAAGATAGTTTTGATATAAATGCATTCAAACTGTAAGCTCGATCGAGCAATAAATATAATTTCGTTAATTTTACTAGTTTGATGGTATGCTATATCCTTTATGAAAATGCTAAAAAAAAAAAATCGTATTTTTTGTCGATTTACAGTGTAAGACCGCCAGTCGACTGGGTTGATTTTAATCACGCCAGTACGATAAAAATAAACACCGCGTGGAAATTTCAACGGTTGATCCGTTATTTATTACGATCGTAACTCCGACATGGCGATCCGCGGAAGGGGGGGGGCGGGGAGGGAATTTTCTCTGCACAGAATGGGAACGGGTTTCGGGGGCGATAAAGAGAATCTATTCAAATCTGCTTCTCCTTTTTTCGTGTCTCGCGACTGCAATTTCACCCCGAAGATTTCCGTGCACCCGGGGACAAAAGGATACGCAGAGGAAGATTTACGTACATCACGTCGGGCGGTGGGAGTGAAACGGGCAGAGGTATTCTTTCGAAAAGCCCATTTTCAGTAATGCGTGAAGGTGGGTTCCCGTGGCACGGGGAAAGAATAGATCGAGATTGCCAAATCTACCGAGATAAGGACGACAAATTGCAGAAACAATTCGGTTGATCAATTCCCGAACGGAGGATAATGAAAGGAGGCACGGATCTCGTCCGACTTTGATGATACGTCGAGTAATTTCATTCCCGAGATTCAACTTCTCGTAACTGTTGATGCAGTTGTGCCCAATAGAAATCCAATACAAGAGTCGTCGATGCGATTGTATTGGAATTTGATAATCTTTCCGATAGAACGTTTAATAGCTACGCAGGTTCAGACGGTCGTTGTTTAGTTTGAATAATAATCCATTCGTGAACTGAATTCGGATGTGAAGATAACGAATGAGTAATATTTTCGTGTGGAAGATCATATTTTATGTTTTTGTACTGTTTAAGTGTTGGTACACGCGTATGTAGGATAGACCTCGTAATTAAAATTACATTCATAACTATAGAAATCTTGGAAATGGAAGCGAATGTGTCTTTTTTTATAGTGCTCACAACGAGCAAAATGAATATTTCGTTTGTGACAGCAAAACTTTTTTTTTTTGAGCGAATAAATTAAGAATAATAGTAATACATTCAAACAGCAAAATTGATAGAATGTTAAAAAAGAAACGAAGAAAATATGTAATTATCGTGATTCATTTGATTAATAAGAGGAAATATTTGATGCAAATGTAATCAGAAACTTACTGTTTAATTATTTCAATAGTATTGTATTCTTCTACTTCTGTCTATATTTCACAGAGGTTGGATGAGAATGAAATAATAATGCGAAGATTCAAAATGCAAAGCTGAATAAATTGAAACTGTCGGAGTAAATTAAAATATTAAAAATACGTAAATATTAATTTTAATAAATGTTGGTTTAAATGAATATTTAACGGATTATTGTAACTCTATAATTGCTCACAGCGTTCAGTCTTTAAAGATTATTTCTATTTTGATAAATTGTGTGAGCGATTTGAATTTCTTCTTTGTTAACAAAAACAGAGCCACATGAATATGTGAATTTTGTTCATTATTTATACATATATCCCGTGTCAATCTTCGAAGTAGATATCACACACTATAAAACATCATCACCTATCAGTTAACAGTTACTATGTAAGGAAAGAGACTATTATGTCTTAGATTAACTAAAATCGCTGTTTAATATGGATTAAATTATCATGCATTTTTTGAAGTTATTATTTAATGTAATAACTGGGTCATTAAGTATTTTCATTTTTATGTTGCCTTTGTGTAATTAAAAATTTCTGTCAGCTAGCACGTTGCGTAAATTAAGTTGAATTACAATACTTGATGCAAATCATCCATTTATGCAGCTCATTATAATGTTCACTGGGAAAAATTTTTAATGAGAGATTCTAAAGGCCAAGATAAGACGAAAATCAAGAATATTAATTTATCGATTGAGGCTTCGATAAAAAGTTATTAATGCTTGAAGCTTCACACAGTATATCTTCGATAAAGAATTTTTTTCTCGAAAGTACGTAGGATTTCGGGGTTATGTGAATTCACCAAAAATGATTTTTTCCAAACGATTTTAAACATATAAAATTTCAGGGAAACATGTCAATGTATGATCATTATATTTTCGGTATCGAATTTTTTTCTCAAAACTGGGTAGGAATTCGGGGGTATATCTATCCACCAAAAATGATTGTAGTTGGCCCCCACAACCGAAAATAATTTTTCCAAAACGATTTGAAATTTTTTTTTTCCGTCGAAAA